TTTACATGTGGGGAGCTAATCTAAAAAAAAATGGGTGCGTGTACTTATGTAGGCGCGTGAGAAGTTATCCTTCTTTGGCATCGTTTAAAATTAGTTTTTAATTGCATGCAAATAATTAATTACAATAAATTAATAAAAAGTCTGGAAAAGGACGAAGTCAATAAAGTTCAGTTTTAATTTGAAAAAATAAATAAATAATCAAAATATTCAATTAAAATCGCTACTGAATATAATTTATTAGAACATATGTGATTTGCACTTGTATGAAACTCAAACACGTATTCCGAATATACAAACTAGAAACATGTGGATAAATATTATAAATATGAATACCTATAACTGTTACTTTATTACAAAAAATAAAGATGTGGTTTTTGGTTCTACTACACCAATGGTCAAGAGATGGCGCTGTAGTCTCCTGAATCGCGCTTTGGTTCCATTGTTCCAGATTAATAAATACTTTTTGTTACTTTATTACAAAAAATAAAGATGTGGTTTTTGGTTCTACTACACCAATGGTCAAGAGATGGCGCTGTAGTCTCCTGAATCGCGCTTTGGTTCCGTTCTTCCAGATTAATAAATACTTTTGATAGGCCTTCACAATGCAGTCGTTAGTACCCACAAAATAGAGATTCTATTTCTATTTTGTTGGTAGATTTTCTTAATGTGCGGTAAACACAAAAGTAACAGCATGATGCTGTTAATTTTTTGTGTTACAGTGATGCGCGCGCATCTTAAAATTTCACTCTCATCATTTTTTCATAACGCGCCTAAAGAAGTATAACTTCAAAAATTTCATAATTTTACTATACAATTTTGACGGTGTGATTGATACATATCTCCACAAAATTACAGCTCTCTAGTGCAAATAGTCTCCAAGCAAAAACCGGAGACTGCGGAACCCTAAAAAGATTGTAAATAGTCAAAAGTAATTAATTACGAAGCATACGTAAAAATATTGATATCATTTAAAATCGTACGATAATTTTGCTCCATGTACGATTATTTCTACGCTACTGGTACGATAGTTGCCCTGCGCATCCCTAACTTATCTCTTGACATTCCTCTGTGTTCCTCTGTTTTTATGGTCTGTCCTTTCGTTTCTGTCCAGTGTTGCCAACTCTACGTCTTTTTACGTAAATCTACGTATTTTAGGCCTTTTCTGGAAACCTACTAACTTCAGTCCCAGAATCTACGTATTTTCTTAATTTTTTTCAAATTTGTAAAATAACTTAATTCACTAGAATAAAGAAGAATATTTTCCGTTACTTTACTTAAAAACCATACAAATGTTTATTAAAGTTATACTTCTTTAGCCGCGTTATGAAAAAATTATGAGAGTGAAATTTTAAGATGCGCGCGCATCACTGTAACACAAAAGTAACATAATGAAGTTAGCCGCGGGCGCGTTATGATAAAATGATGAGAGTGAAATTTTAAGATGCGCGCGCAACACTGTAACAGAAAAGTAACACCATGAAGTCGGCCGCTAAACCGCACATTACTCGTAAGTCTCGAAAAAAAGCTTCCAACAAAATAGTAATAGGATCTCTTAGTCGCACATATTGGGACGCTCGTCGCCTCTGATCACTGTTTTCATATTTATAATATTTATTATTTAATAAAACTGTAAGAATGTGCTGGAGGGCGAAGGGGGAGTGTGAGAAGACTGACGTCAAATAAAGATAGGCGTAGGTAGAAAATACTTATATTGTGATTACTATTCAATATTTGTAGGAGAAATGGTATTACTGTATCCCACCAGTGTGGAAATACATGTATACTATTATTAAGACACTAAGACGTCCCACGTGGTGGAAACGTATAGCGTGCAAGACAATAGGCCCTACCTACGAAGCGATGACTTGGTCAATTTCCCAAGAACACCTTATACAAGTGGTGTCAGTATAGTATAGCACGATTCACATGCGTACAGCGCCATCTAGTAGCGGTCGGCGTGATGATATTTGATCCTATGATGTGCCATACAATCGGTGTCGGTATAGCATAGCGCGATTCACATGCGTACAGCGCCATCTAGTAACGGGCGGCGTGATGATATTTAATACTATGGTGTTACAAAAATAATGGTGGATTATTAACCACTTAGTGGTTAATAATCCACCATTATTAGACATCTGTTCGAAAGGTACTTTGAACGATCCACGGAGCTCCATAAGATGATCGCGTTGTCAAAAACAATGTTGGCACGCTCGTCGCCTCTGATCACTGTTTTCATATTTACAATATTTATCCACATGTTTCTAGTTTCTATATAGACACAACGTGTTTTAGTTACTTACAAGTGCTAATTACATATGGACTAATAACTTAAATTCAGTAGTGATTTTAATTGAATATTTTGAATATTTATTTAATTTTTCAAATTAAAACTGAACTTAATTGACTGTGTTAACTATCCTTTTCCAGTCCTTTTATTATTTTATTGTAATTATTAATTATTTGCATGCAATTAAAAAATATTTTTAATGATGCTAAAGAAGTATAACTTCTCACGCGCGTACATAAGTTACACGCATCCATTTTTTTTATAAAGATGTATCTAAACACTCTTGCATCTTGTAGAAAAGGTTCCCGTTAATGGTTTTGTTGACTAAATTAATGGACGCAGGATTTGTGAAAGCAGAAACGACAAAACTCTTTGACTTAGTAGGTACATTCATAACCTTAAAAATTATATTTTGAAACTTTTAATATTATCAATGAGTACCTACTCACATCGAATTGATCTTTGCAAAAAGAAAAGACTTTCAGCCGATAAAGTTACAGGATTTAGCAAGTTTTAAGCATATATTCATGTGTAAGTATGTTTTTTCTCTTGGCAATTTAAACCACAACTTTTCTAGAGTCTTTTACCAAGTGTATCATGATAACTACTATATTTTCCATGTGATCTATTAGAAATCATGGTTTTATAATATTAACTTAGAAAGTTTATTTCCTTCGTGTTTGCGAGTGTTTGTTTTGACGTCATAGCATAGATAAGTCTATAGACTAAAGAGAGTTTTTGTATGTCTTCTAAGAAAAAAAAAATTTTTTTTCGTTCTGATAGAACAATTATATAATTCCAAAACGTGTCAACTAGCCCATTTAACAACAGTTTATCCTTGTCATTCTCTATACAGAATGAAAAGGAGAGACTGATGTTAAATTAAGTTTTAAATTTAGAGAATCATCGAGAATGTCTGTCTGAACCCACCAGTGTCTGTGTCTGATGGTAAATGTTTACCACAGCATGGTAAATGCTTCCAATGCAGCCTTCTCCAAGAACTCTTTGTACTATCTCCCGTTCATAAACAAATTGTATAACAAAATACTCGTTTTATTCGGTTTCAAATAACTTCTTCATTTCACTCAGAAAAAAGTACGTAGATCTACTTACTTTTCATATGCAAAATTTACCAATAGGGAAGATGCAATATTTTTATTTTTGTTTTCATTTTAAAGAATTCCATGTAGAATAAACCACAGATATATTAAAAAATTAAAACATTGTGATTTATCGGAAAAAATGCGGTTTTAAATTGACAATTTAAATTTTCGCGCGAAAACGAACCTATGGTTGCGATGACGTCACTCCTGTCAGTCACTGGTCGTAATTGTTCGTTGCTGGCTTTAAAATTTCATACTTTTGCATATTTTTTCAACTTTCGAAATATTTTTTTGAAAATTTTAAAATCTACTATCCATCAACATCATGTGATCATAACAATACCACTAATATTCCGAAATAAAGCCGTGTTGACTCATGTTTTGTGCCAATCTACTTCAACAAAGTTCCCAAATAAATTGTTTTTGACTGGAACTTCTGACCCAAAACTGAAAAAAAGTGGTTTCAAGCTGCGAAGAGAAATGACAATTATTCTCCAAAGACCATTATTCGATGCTGAGAAGATCACTTTGACGTATGTCGGCGAATATACTTGTTATATGCTTTAATTAATCAGCTTGTACGTAAAAACGCATTAGTAACCTACCTATAACATATTTTTAATTTTACAGTTGGAGAATGACGTCGAAAATTAGATAAAGTTTAAAATGTGTAGCACAATCTTCACATTGGCAGGACTGAACCAAGCTTTGTGTTTCATTTAAAATAACTGTAACACGATAACCTTCTTTACGTACTTACCGGAGCGTAATCCGGAGAACTCGAACTTTTACTGTACATAATTTTCCATCTCTTTTAATTTGGACATAGCCGATTGCATTATCGCCGTAAGATTTGTAGAAGCCGCTGAATAAAATACGAAGTTTAACAACTACGATTTTTACATACCGTAGTAATTTAGTCCCTTTCATTTCTACACTTAAAAACTCTGCACTTTGGACAAAAAAGTTATAACCATGTCAACGCTAACTCTTGGTAAATTCCTGGAGTCTGCTTTGATAAACGCAACTTCCATTTTTATTAAATGTAAAAAAAACGCAATAAATATTCCCATAAAATAATATTAACTTTAACAACCATAACCTCAAAGAAGTTGTCATAACAGGAGTGACGTCACTAAACGCTGATTGGTGTTTTAATATACGTTCCGTTTCAAGTATTTTTAATTCGTAATAATTGTTAAAAAACAACATTATGTAAAATAAAAACGTTGCAGTGGCATTTCTTTTATATTTTTTTAACATTTTAATCATAAAATTTTCATAAATATTATATATGCATCTTCCCTATTCTACGTAATTTTCTCATCGGGCCTACGCCTTTTTCAAAATCCGAGTTGGCAACACTGTTTCTGTCGTCTGTCTGTATATATTTATTTCAAACGATTGGTTTATTTACACATTTTATTTACAAGATAATTTCAAGTTACTTGCTTATAATAAGATTTATTCAGAATTTGCGTCAACAGAATGAATGAAGATACATTTGTAACAAAATTTTCTCTGTTAATTACCAAGAATAACATTTTAGTGTTTAATTATTTTCGGCGTTGATAATTCCTTGCTAAAGTTCATTCGAGCTCACGGTCTGTTTTTTAAATGAAAAGTGGAATTCTTCTGAGTTACTTAAAATGGTTGTTATAACTTGGAAAATTAATTTCAAAGACATATTCCGCTATATAAGGTAAGTTCAATTCCAATTTTTGGTCAATACTACTAAAGTTTATGCAACGGCAATGTTAGTTCCCTTGGGGCCTTGAAATGTTACTCACCAACAGAAAATCAACAACTAATAATATTGTAACTGTGGTCTAATCAATGGTGCAGCGCTCCAAATCATTTTAAAAGAATTTTGAATGTTAAATGTATGGTAATTAATTGATTCTCAGTAATGAGAGACAAGGGTTACATACATTTAAAAATTACACATATCATAATAAATCAGCTTACAAAATTAAGTCAACCATAAAAAATAAGTATTTTTACAGGTTTCCTTGAGAAAAGAAAATATGGCAAATGTTCTCACATTTGCCATATTTTCTTTTCTTTTATCTTTTCTTATATCTTACTTATTTATATCTCAAGTGGTAGTTTTAGTAAATAACTTACTTATTTTTTAAATAAATTATTCTGTCAAAAATCAAAATAAAAAAATCACTTATTCTGGCTAGGATGTTACAAGCACTTGTGAAGGTCAAGAAGCTACATCATCTGTTCGCAAAACTATGGCAGGAGAACTTGTACTGAGGAGAATTGGCAAGAAACCCAGCAAGGGCTGTTTTTTTCTCCCTGTATTGTTATATACAGAATCGTCAAGTTGAAAAATTCCTTCAGAGATACTTCTGAAGCCAGCTTCCATTACATCATTTAGATTATAGATACATAGTTATAGGGGAATTAGATCAATACTCTCCACACAAAGAACATGATAACAAAGAACAGGAAAACAAAGAACCTAAAAACAAAAAACATAAACAAGAACTAATAAAGATATGTACCTACAATGTAAGAACACTCTCATCAGAAGAAAGATTTCTTAAATTAACACACACCATAAAAAAAATAGATTGCGACATTTTAGGACTTGCAGAGGTAAGGAGAATAGGATGTAGTATTGAAGAATACAAGGATTACATTTTACTCTACATAGGAGAAACAGAAGGTCTACATGGGGTCGGTTTTCTAATAAAGAAAAAATTTAAACTAAACATAGCAAACTTCATAGGTATATCGGAAAGAGTGGCTGTATTGCAATTTAAACTTGGAGACGAGGCTATAACACTCATCCAGGTGTACGCCCCAACAGAAAGATCAACAGATGAAGATATTTGTCAGTTCTATAATGACTTAAAAACAGCTAACGATATGTCAGAAAAAACTACACTGGTAATGGGGTGGGATTTTAATACAAAAATAGGACACACAAAAGCCCATGAAGATCTTATAATGGGAAAATATGGAACCGGAAGTCAATACGATAGAGATGAAAAATTAATTGAATATGCCAAAGAAAATAAACTTTCTATAATGAATACATTTTTCAAAAAGAAACAGTCGGAAATGCACGTGGCTATCACCAGATACACGAACTACAAATGAAATAGATTTTATAATGTGTAACAAACCTGAAAGAATCACAAATGTTGAAGTCCTAAACCAAATACACTTTTCATCTGACCATAGACAAGTAAGAGCTTCTTTTCAAGTAAAACCAAACAAACTAAGTAGAAAGTCATTTAAACCCATATCGAGAATACCAAAAACTGACAAAGAAATAACAACATACCTCAACAATCTAAAAGAAAATATACAAATGAACCTAGAAATATTACAACACTCTAAAGATGTCGAAACATACTCTAACAAACTAGAAGAAATCATAACAACAAGCCTGAAAATGGAAAAAGGAAATCACAAAAATAATAAACACAAAATAATGAGTGAGAAAACAATAAACTTAATAACCAAACGCACAGAACTAATAAAAATCAAAAATAAGAGCGCAAAAAACAAGAAGACAAACAAATCGATTAAAGAGGACTACAAAAACTACAGACAGAGGATAATCCAAGAAAAACTAACAAAATTTCGAAGCTTAAAACGAGCATACAAAGAACTAAAAACACATGAAAAAAGGATTCAAAAACTAAAAAAGGGAAAAAAGGAACAAAATCCCGTAATGACATTATGAACTGCGCTACTGATTTTTTTTTTATGTTATAGGGGGCATACGAGCAGAAATAACAACGTATTATAATAATTTGTATAATAATTTTCATTTATACAAAATTATATATGAAAACAAAAGAAGACATAGGAAATGTAGAAATTGAACACCCAACAGAAAGAGAAAATCTCACAATAGATCCCATAACAGAAACGTAGGTACCCATATAAAGAAACTAAAATCAGAGAAGACCCCAGGCCCAGACGGCATTAGTAATGAAGCTAAAAACTCGGTGCACCAATCATAATTACCTTCTTAACAGACCTGTTTAATGTTATTCTAGAATATGACATAATACCAAAACAATGGCTTCACTCAGACATCATACTACTTTATAAAAAAGGCGAACCCACAGATATTTCGAACTATCGACCAATAAGTCTACTATCAAGCACCTACAAACTATTCACATCCATACTAACTGCAAGAATAGCTGCTAATATAGATAACCACCAACCACCACAAGCTGGATTTTGTTCAAATTTCTCAACAATAGATCATATTCACACAATAGAACAAATCATCGAAAAGTATAAAGAATACAACAAACCATTATATATAGCCTTTGTAGACTATACAAAGGCCTTCGACAGCATTACACACAGTTCAATATGGAAAGCACTCAACACATGTGAAATAAATAATAAATACATAAATATTTTAAGAAACATATACTGTAACAGTGTAAGCAGACTGCGATTAGAAAACTATGGGAAAGAAATCAAAATAGAAAGAGGTGTTAGACAGGGAGATCCCCTGTCACCTAAGTTGTTCATCGCCTCCCTAGAAAACATATTCTAATCTATAGAATGGAAGAATAAAGGTATAAAAATACAAAATTAACACCTAAGTCATGTAAGATTTGCCGACGATATTGCCTTGTTTGGAGAAACAGCTCCAGAAATAGAACATATGTTAAAATCACTGGACACACAGAGTAAAATAGTGGGATTACACATGAATCCTAGCAAAACGAAAATAATGACTAATTCAGAAAATAAACTAATAACAATTGAAGAAAATGATATAGAATATGTAAATGAATATATATATTTAGGAAAACAGGTATCACTCAGAGCAAACAGTAACAAAGAAGAAGTGGATAGAAGAATAAATTCTACATGGAAGAAATATTGGGCACGCAAAGAAATCCTAAAAGGCAATCTCGATATATCTCTAAAAAGACAGTAGTAGACTGTGCCTATGCCTATTACCAAGCCTACTGTACTGATGTCAAACTTGGGTTTATACAAATAAACTAACAAATAAAATAAAAAACAAAATTACTACATGCCAGAGAGCAATAGAAAGAAGTATGCTAAAATTAAGAAGAATAGACAAAATAAGGTGTACAGACATAAGGAGCAAAACTGGACTAACAGATGCTCTGGAACAGGCCCTTAAACTTAAATGGAAATGGGCGGGTCATCTGTCTAGATATACTGACAAAAGGTGGACCCTCAAGTCCACTGGATGGACCGGACCAAAAGGAAAAAGGAAAGTAGGCAGACCCAGAAAACGATGGTCCGACGATATTGTGTCTGTGGCAGGCAAAGACTGGCTGAAAGCGGGAAAAGATAAAGAAAAATGGAAAGCAATGGAGGAGGCTTTTACCCAGATGGGATCCATGTCTGAAACTATACTAACAAATACTAAAAACCAACATAATATTTAGGTTTACTAACAAACTAACATAAATAAAATGTAAAAGTAACTAATAGATATGGAATAAAAAGCTTTTTATTTATTTTATTTTATATAGTTACAATAAATTTTATAGTTAACTTTATATTTAGTATATAGGAAGCGGCATAAGATAGGTACCATATTACTGTTATGAAAAATTACTAATACCCATCAAATAACTAATTACAAGAAACACTATGTCCATGCATTACGATCATTTAGATAATCATCAACTTTATAAAAGCCCTTATTCATAAGAGTAATCTTGTACTGAGATTTAAATTTGGTCAGAGGAAGCGCAATCAGGTTTTGGGGAACTTTATTAAACAATGCAATACTTCAACCCAGAAATGAACCACTTGATTTTTGGAGTCAACAAACATGGAACAGCAAGCTTGTTCTTAAATCTCATGTTAGCATTATGGGTTTGACGTTTTTTTTTGCAATTGCGTCATAGTTTTTTCTTAGATATAAGGAGCTCGGGACTGTAAAAAAAAAGTAGTTCGACCAGATGCGTAATTATACCGTTTTGTTCGCTGGCTCCTCATATATTATATTTTCATAAATGTATTACGATGCCAGTGTTAAAAGACTAATTTCTTTAAACTTTTCTCAAAGAGATTTTCATGCCTTTAAGTTTTATATGGAGCGAAAAGCTCTCTGTTCGCGCCCCTATAAACCCCACATATACATACATATAAAAGAAAAGGAATATTACAAATCATAGCGAAAACTTGCATTTATATAACGGATGGCGCCATCTATTGAATGGGACACCGGAGCGCTCTTAGCCCAAGCGTCATTGGTTGTCGCCGGCAGATAGCAGATGTCGCCCGCGTTCGTGTGTTCGGCTGGTTTTACCGACCATAATGTCATGACTTGTTAAAAATTGTTAAATTCTTTCTGTCAAGAAAACTGTTACTGCTAAATTGATTTTATTATAACATAAAGCGAAATTACTAAAAACACCGAGTTTTTATTGAAGAAGACTCCACTTCTATGCCCAAACATAAAGAAATTTTTGGCGACCGTGACAGGACTCGAATTATAATCTTCAAATAAGAAAATATTTTTTCCGTTGCCCGTGACCGGCGTCCATGAAGAAGGAAACCTAAAACCTTAAGGATTACACTACGAAAAAGGACAAAGGAAGCAAAGCAAAACAGGAAACTTAATAAGTCGTCGTGTGGCTTGCGAGGTCCAACGAATCATCGAAAGAATCGTGCTGAGCAAACTACAAATACTTCGAGTTCAAAGTTAAGTGCCATCCT